GACAAAATAACATAAGGTATTGTTCTCATCGTTCATATATTTTATCGACCATGTTTTGTACTCTCCCTCAGGCAATCATTTTCAAAAAATGCAAGGTAGGATCCACACATATTTCTTTTCATGACCTATTTCACATATTCCGTTTACGCTCTGTATAGCTATGTCGATAACTATCATTATATTCTTACTAACTTTCTTATACATTCCTAACAATGCAACTGATAGAACTGCCGATTCTATAATTTATGATAACCGTGTACACACTTTTCTGAGAAAATTAACTCGACAAAATGAAAATAGATCGAATGCAACTATTCAAAGTTGTTCCTTCTTTGATTATGATTTTTCATTTTTAAATCAAAATAATGGTACTGATTATGTTGGTACTGATGTTGGGGCTATTACGAATATGTATAAAATGAATATATGTGGGCCAGTCAATGATAATTGATGTCAATATTCATGGCGAATTCCAACTTGTTTGTTATATTTGTACTCGCGGCAATCCACATTGTCTAGGTAGTGTCACTTTGATTGGTTCATTTGGCGCTGATGGCGCTGGCGTGGCGTGGAATTTTATTGATCCTCGAAAACCCGAGCTTGGTGTGACCATGACATATATTAATGGACAAAACCCATGTTTCTGTCCAGAAAGCCAGCATTGCTTACCATCAACTGTTGTCGCTTTACAATGTGCTGAGCAGACGGAACAGACCTTTCGTGTCTTTGTTAATACCAATACATGCATTACTTATCTATATCTAAGTATTAAATGTCCTAAATAAAACAACAAAACTAAACGATAATCAGCAATGACAGAATCCGGCTTAGAAATTTGGTTTTTATAACCGAAGTCAATCGCAATTCTAATTTCATATTAGGATTATTCTACTTTTTGAAATGAGATTTTCAGATAATCTAGATCACTGCTTGGAACTAACACGATAAAAAAATTTAGTCTAATACATCTATACTTCGAGAAAACTAAGATTCATTATACTAGTTCTGTAAACATTGTGCGAGGTTGTTCAGTAATAGAATGAACATTTCTTGAAATTGTATACTGCATGATTATAAATTGTGTGATATTCATTTGACCATCAAATTCTTTCATATTGATTTAATATTTTTGATCAGAATCATCAGTACATATATATTTGAATGAATAATTTAACACATGATCACAATGTTGAAGAAGAATTTATTGTTTAGTCAGGGTAGGCGTTGGTGAGGGTGTGAGTGTGAGTATTCTTCTTCTCTTTACCCACACCCTCACAGTTCTTGTTGGTAGTCTCAAGTTTTTGACTACTGTTGGTTCAATCAGTTCTGTCTTTCAAAGAATCGAGTATATTATAGAATGTTAACAATTGGAAAATGTTGCATTCACAGAATTTCTTAAAAACTAATAAAAAAAACATCATCTTAGGGTCACTTTTCTGAATAACACTTATACAGCTTCGCCTAAGATATACCTGCTTCGCAATGTCCAGATATTCATTCTATTGCCTATGCCCATTCTCACGTCGTGCATCACTTGTGAAATATGACATTCTGTATAACATGAAGTACTTCAGCATCCCAATATCCTCATTCACAAGAGAAATATTACACAGGCAAATCAGATGAATTACCAAAAAACCAGATTTCTGTAGCAATACAGCCTAATTGATTGATTGAAATCAATGGGTGTGGATATGAGCGTAGGTGTTTGTGAAAAGATCACTCACATCCTCGAAATACCATATATGTGGTTTTGTAAAGCTATTTGCAACGTATCGAATCGTACATAAGAAATCAAGTTTTCTTCAATTTTCGATCTCCTAAGGGTCCATATACGGTGATAATCCTTGAGAAATATGTATGATATTTATAAAGATTGTAGCTCTTAACATGTTTTAAGATAAATTGATGCAAATTTTATTTTTAAAATCAATTCGATACAGTTCCAGGTGCGCTTTAGTTTTCTATAATCAATAAATTTCATCATTGCATTCTTCATACCTAAATATGGTTCTCTATCTTAGATCTAGATTATTTCTTGACTATATGATATTTCAGTATGTTCAACTCTGCAACACAGAATAAGTGAGTACCAATGTGAAACTTTCTCAAAAATTGCACACTATCGAAATCCATATTTTCGCATATAACATCTTTCGGAATAGCAGTCATCACTAAACCAATTTTTGTATTTCTTCTGTGTCTATTTTGAATAAAATCAATATTGAGAAATATCGATGAAATAAATGTTCGTTGTTCAGAATTTTGTTCAATAAAGTGAATGTCTTCATTGATCTCGCTCAATTCTTATATTTAAACAAAGAGTGAAAAGAGAGAGAGAAAATAAAAGATAAAAACCTATAATTGCAACCATTCGAAAGATGACGATGAATTCTTTGCCTTTTTTATCCATCATATATAGACAAAAAAAAAAGACATAACTATTTTCTTTGCGAGATAAACTAATTCATCAATCATTTATTTATTTCACACAAAA